TTGGCATGTGACTGCTGTTGCTGTGGTTGTAGTACTTACTGCTTACTGGAGCTCCCCTATGTTTAGGATCTCAGCTCCGCTACCACGTTAAAATCAGTTGTTACTTTGCTTACAAGTGCAAGTGTTGTAATGTTCAAACAAACAGTCAACCGATGTAGTCTGCAGCTGCCAACCTTTTGACTCATGCGGAGTAGTAAGCTCAAGGCCTGCGGTAGTGAACATACATGCAACACAAGTGCAAAGTGAAGCATGTAGTTTGACAAGAAAGAGAGAGAGAGAGAGAGGAGAGAGAGGAGAGATTTTAAAAAGAACATCCTCCTGGGAAAGGTAAGTTACCTATCAAAAAAAAAAAAAAAAAAAAAAAAAAAAAACAAACAAAAAAAAAAAAAAAAAAAAAAAAAAAAAAAAAAAAAAAATAAAAAAAAAAAAAAAAAAAAGGTCCAATTTGAAACAAGAATTCGAATTGTAATCTAGTTGAAATCCCCTTAAAAAAAGGAAACCATACTGAAATTACTAGAAATTACACTAGAATTCTGTCCTTCTTCCTTCCTATCTAAGTTCTGATTAACAGATTGAAACATCCTCATGGGAAAGACAATTCCTGTGAAGTCTTATTTGAAATCTCCGATTTAAGTTTGAATTGAAACTAGAATTATTACTAGATTTGTTTTCCTTGCCAAAGTCCATGTAATCATTCTACTGTTTAAGTAAAGATTGAACAAATCCTCCTAGGAAAGCAAACCATCTTCGAATTAGGAATAGAATTCTAATTAAAACCTAAATGGAAATCCTATTTAGATTCTAAATGAAGCTAGACATTCTAGTAGAATTCCGTCCTTATTAAATGTTAAGTTCAAAATAAAGACACTCCTGAATTGCATTGCTCTAACTGAAAGGAGCTATCTACTAAATCTACTAAATGGAAAGGCTGAGCATTGTCGAAGCAGAGTATTCAGATGGTGATTGACACCAAAAAGGATGAAGTGTTGTTCAAGCAGAGTTGCCAAATGACTCGAATCAGCTTTGACAGGCGGTGTTGGTGGTGGTGTTGAAGCAGACTAGCCAAATGATGTAGAATCCAAGTATCATTGGAAATGATTGCCTGGGAAAAAAGGGACTTGAAACACCACCTCCCAGGAGGAACCACTCTCGCAAAAAGGGGGTAACCTCACAAAACAACCCAAACGAATTTCGACCAAATGCGCGGAATCCCCACGTCCCGTCCCTAGCGAAGTTTTTCGCGCCTCGCCCGGCTCCCTGCGGGAGGGGCGGTAGACCCGCAGTGTCACCGGGGAGATCTGGGCGCGGAACGGCACGGCGGAACCGCTCTGGAACCTGCCTGGATCCCTGGAAACCACAAAAGGCAACACTTGTCTGATCAATTTGGGCAAATGACCACAATTCACAAGCCGGAAAGAAGGAATCTCCGAGTCATAATTCTTTGCCGAACTTAATACGTCAGAGCAGTAAACTCCGAAAAGAACCTCGAACAAAAATCGGGACCCTAAAGTGGCTGGCGTCGTGGTGTCCCTTTCAATACCGACCAAAAGGGGTCCATCATTTGAACAAAACTTCCTTGTGGAACTTCACGCCGGCCCCAAACTCAGCAGATTCACCCCATCTGTTGGGAGAAAAAAACTACCTAGGATTTTGCTGGGTTCAAGGGGCAGTCAGTGCCCTCGAAACATGCCCAAGAGATTGTTTCCGTGAGACGTTTTCGCAAGACGCGAATCCCCCGGCAAAAAAGGTGGTCCCGTTTCGACTTGTCACTGTCAGTCAAGTCATACCATTTCGCACAAAACAACACAAATCCCAGGGCAAGTACGGAACGTAACACGCTCTTTGCTGATCGCTGCGTCAACCTGCAAGCTTTCAGAAACAAGCCCCCCTGCAGTCTTCAAAGTAGCCCAGGAGGACGAGGGAAGATTTGTGTGTGTGTGTGTTTGTTTCTTGAGGGTGTCCTTGTCACCAGCTTGGTCGAAAGGGAAACTGACAGAGCAACCGCCATGTTCAGGGTTCAAGTTTCTCTTTCGACACATACCCACTTCTTTGCTGTGGCGTTCAAAAAGATCGGTTTTCAGCTTGCGCCTTCCTCCTCATCAATGAAGAACTCCACCGGGAGCTGCAGAAGCCCTCTGGCTTGCGATGCGGTGCGGTGTGTGCGTGTGTGTCTTGTTTGTGATGGGTACCCGTTTCTTGACGTTGGCTGGAAGCCTCGTGAATACACGCGCCACAAGAAGGCATCATGTCTGATGAACCTTGATCCAAGCCAAGCACATGGGGGGAGGTCGTGTCAACCAAGCGAAGATTCGATTGAACCTCCGGCCAGCGCTGGAACTTTGGACTTTGAGGATCGAACTTGCTACAACACCACAATGAAAACAGTTGAAGGTTGGGGCCATGACAGAGAAGGAAGTGAAAAGGCCACAAGCTATTCGCTCAAAATAGAAGGAGCGGAATATAAACTATGACCTCCATTGCCGAGTCAAGGGTGAGACAAGATCTATAGCAGGGCTGGCCAGCTGTCGGCCAGCTGTCAAGGCCAAGCTCCCAGGTATGGCGATCCCCGCCGACTGCATCTGCAAAAAGTCCTACTGGGTTCCGGGCTAACCTCAGTTGCCCCTGGTTATAAAGTCCGACCCCCCTTGGTTTGCTTCGGGCGGTTCTACCGCCTCCGCCGGCCCGTCTCCCTCCCGCCTGACGGCCCCTGCGGCGGCAGCTCTGGCAACGGCGGCTTGGGACCCGGCGCCTCTGGAACTGGTCCAACTTGCTGGTTCAATAGGCAAAGAAGGAGGCAATGAAAAACACATTTTCTATGGTTTCCTTGAAGGGAAGCCCGCTCAGCAAGTCGACCCTGGGGATAGGAACTGGCAGCGTCACGCTCCAGTGCAAACTCCGAAGTTTCGCTTTTCGAACTCGGAGATTCAGCCTCATTCCACCCTGAACTTTGTTGGACTGATTCTTCGTTTGTGATTTATTTTCGAACAAGATGGAGCCTTTGGTGGACAGAACTGTGGGGATTTGTTACATCCCCAACCACTTAGGGGGTTCCCCATTGAAACACACAGCCATTTAGAGACAAACCCATGCGCCAGACCCCATGGTGCTTGCAGGCCAGCCTACTTGCTCAAGAACGGCTAGCTTACAGCTACTGACTTGGCAGCATGCAGACCTTGGAAGCTCTCACTCCAATACCAAATCAATCAACAAAAAATGCATCAGTGCGCCAATGAGATTCAAAGCTAGTCATTGATGCAGGCTCCAGGTAATCACCTGAGCCTAGGTTCAGAATCCAAAACCAAGCACAGAATGCAAATGTTGGCGTGCTGGGCAGCCAGAGCAAGGCCGCAGCGGCGGAAGCAACAGTAATAGCAATAGCAAAAAGGGTACATGGGTTTGCCTCCAAATTGGAAAACCGACAAAATGGATGGTGTCCATTCTGGTTTCTCTTTCATCCGTTTGGGAATCATCGTAATAAAAAAGAATAAAAAAAAAGAAAAGAACAACAACAACCACAACACCACGGATGGCTCTAAACCAGATCCTGGGCCTTGAGCGCTGGCAGCACCAAGCCGCTCGGCGTTGTGTCCTGAGTCAAAAAAAGGCCAGCAGCTACTCCTCTGCAGCTTGTCAAGTTTACCAACATGGAACATCAAAACCATCTCAGCCAAGCAATTTGAATGGCCATGCGTCGTTCAAGGGGATGGATAGGCTTCATCTATGGCGGTGAGACGCTAAATCCCCGCAGGTACGCAGGATGGAATCAAGTCAGCTTGTAGCAAGCGAGCAAACCGCCCTCGCCTTCGGGCTCCCAAAACTGGGCGTTCGCTGGCCTGCCTGAGACTGGGCGCCCGGCTGCGGCTTTCTCGGCCGGGGCCTCGCTCGACTTCAACTCCGCGACCTTGGGGCCACGGGCAGGAGCAACGAGCCCCGAGCCCCGAGCCCCGAACCAAGCAACGCCTGCCCCAAGCCGCAGCTATCTCCGAGCACAGCGGCCCGAGCCCCCGAGCCCACGTCTGTCAATCACTTGTCGTGCAGCCCACCCGCCCTGCTCAGCCCAGTCGGCACGTCGGCACTTGCTCAAGCCCACATTGCTCGTGTGCATGGCAGGCAGCTTGCAGCGTTTTGCAATGGCCCGCTCTGGCCAATGGAGCCGAAGCAGCAACTGGTGCCTTCTCTGAATGAATGAGAGAATCCGATTCTTCTTAAGAGGATTCGTCAATTCCTGTGCTTCCTGTGTTTGTTTGCTTGCTATTACTATTTGTGTTTAAAACATGTGCATATATATATATATACATACATATATTTCTTTGTTTGGAGGGGGACAGCCAGATTGATTGTTCCGGGTCAGCATTACAAGATGAACTGCCCGAGCAGACAAGCACAACTTAGTCGCTTTACAACCATAAAACTGTCCAAGGATTCGATATTTGAACCTCCAAGCATGTAACCTGCACGTTGGACTTAGCCGTTGCGCAGATGGAGGTGAAACCAGGCGAGTCTTGTGTGGCCTGGGCATGCATACTGTACAACCCCAACTCAGGCATTTCAGCTTGCCAATAGTCAAGCCTACCGCCCAGTTGGTTAAACCAGAGGGCAACTCTCCTTAAAGCCCTCTGTGTAAGGGCTCAAGGTGGCCGAGCTCCACTCGACGTGTGAACATGTCGCTATCAAATCATAATTCCAGCCTGGCCGGCAAGTCGGCAAAACGCGATTGATGCCAAATGTGCCATCTCCACGAATGAAATACCAAACAAACGAGTTGACAAGGAAGGAAGACAGACAAGGAAGGCAGACAAGGAAGACAGACAGACGAAGGGCGGACGGACAGCCAGCCAGCCAGCTACCAAACAACCAACCAACCAACCAACCAACCAACCAACCAACCAACCAACCAACCAACCAACCAACCAGCCAGCCAGCCAGCCAGCCAGCCAGCCAACCAACCAGCCCACCGGCCAACCGACCACAGCAAACAGAAGGCCATGAAGCTGTCCCGCCTATGCTGGCGCCATCAGACGCTGCAGCTGGTAGGTGCCCAGACCCAAGGCAAAGCCCAGTGCCGCCCAGGGGGAGATACGCTTGGCGTACCACAGGAAGCTGACCTGAGGCAAAACGCACATTGGACGTTAGTCAGCATTAGGAGCCGCTTTTGGTATCCCCTTCAAACGTCGGTTTTTGAGGCGTCCCGTTTTGGTCTGTCATTCTCTTGGAGTTGGTACCCTTTTTGGGGTGCTTCACAAAAAAGACGGCGGGGGAAACTGCACCCCGCTTTGAGACAACCCCAAAGGAGAGCTCGGCCCCAAGCCAAGCCCCTGCACCCCCACCCCCTTTGAAAAAGATCGCTCTCGCGTGCGTTGGGTCCAAGCATGAAAGTGTGTTGAACCTTCGGTCACAAGAAGTTGGGATCGACGCCTTCTCGAGCCCCATGAGCGTGACTCCTGGCCGCCGCGAGGCACGTGCTGACACAGATGGGTGCTTGTATACGGACCAAAGCAACACCGAATCCCAGTTTGAAGGTCCCCCAAAAAAAGGACTCGCCCAAATGGCGACATGAAGCTTGAAATCGATGTAAATATTTATTCCCCTGGAACTGCGCCCAGCCTGCTACACTGCCGACGGCCAGCATGGAGCCACCTGTGCCCGCTTGAAATCCCTCGGAGCCGGGGGGGGGGGGAGCCAAAAGGAACCCACTTCAATGGGTCCCTGCTAGATGAGTTGGTCGAGTTGGTCCAGTCAGTGGCCGGAGTCAGCCCCCACTTGCCATCAAGACAGACACTCGTGAAACAAGTGCCCAAGAACTTAATTCTACACTCACCAACCAACCGCTTTAAACAAAAATCCTCCGGTCACGGCTTCCCTCAAACCCGTGGCTTCGCGTGACGTGATCGCATCCAGTGCTATGCCCAGCGGCCCGTCCCGGCGGAAAGCGCCACCAGCTGCCAGAGCGGATCATCCATTGGCTCATGGAACATCTCGATGGAGGCCTCGAAGGCCACGCGAAAACCGCTCGATGCGAGATGCGCCTCGAGGCGCCTTTTCCTACGGGGAGAAAAAAACGAGTTGAGCTTGTTTCTCAGTGGCCAAGACAGGTACCATGAAAGACTTCCAGGCTGGGTCAAGACTTGCCAGATTCTTGGGACAGATGTCAATTTGCACAAGCCACGTGTATGGCACAGTTGGGAGAAATGGACATGGGCACCAGCTCGAAATGTCCAACGAAAACCATTGGACTCACCTTTGTTTTAAGTCCAAAAAAAACAAACAAAAAGCTTGAAACCAGAAGTAGAGGGAGGCGCTTGAAGGCCTCGCGAACTCGCGAAAGCCGTTTTCGTAAAACCAACCTTTTCCGGCGCCTGCACCAGTGGCACGTTGTCGACCACAGCCGAGCTAACGCCGATCAGTGCGGCCAGCAATATGTCGCTGCCCTTGGTGATGCTTTCCAGCCACTCGGAGTACTGGGCCAAGACCTGGCGGGCGAGCGAGCGAGATATCAGTCATGGCCAATGAATGCCTCGGCTTGGCTCGGCACCCCCAAAGCGATTCGGGTCTCTCAGTGCTTCCCCTTTTCTTGCCAACCCCCAAAAAGGGTACCCAGCAAGATCAACTTACAAAGAAAAGAAGGACAGAGCCCTATCAATCCCAAGCAAAACTGGTGGTTTGAACCATGGATCTCCAATTCCGGAAGCGGATCTCCGAGGAAAAAGCCGAAGCGGCCGTGTCAAGACTGACTGAAGCGTATCAAGACGTGGAGGGAAGAGGATCATGAACATCGGCACACCTGCTCCAGACATCAGAATTCGGGGGCCTACCAGACGTTTCGGAGGTTACCTCAATCAAACTGATAGCCACTCATAGCTGCGCGACATGGAAAGGCCCCATATCTGCGGCGGATTTGGCAAAGTTTTGGGGTTCCTAAAAGAGGGATGGCTCCATAGAGGTCGACTCCTTCGCGGGGAACGGGCTTGCCCTTGCTATTTACTTGCGGGAAATGGGTGTGATATGTTTGAGGGCTGTGAAACACCGAAGGGTTACCCAAAGTTGAAAACCACCCACTTTTTTTGGAAATGTTAGAAGACACGGGTGTTTTCCCAAATCCAGGACCCTTTCAGGTTGGTTTTCCTTTGGTCTGCCTACACCCGCAAGCCGTACCACCGTTCCTCTGGCGCCTTGTTCAAAACCACATAATTCTTGAGGTCGGACATTGCTCTCTCATACCTTTTGCCACCTTCCTACGTGTCTCTCCATTTGTGTTTGTCTCAAAAATGAACCCCAACAAAAGGGTGGTTTCCTTTGGCTGCCACAAGAGCCTCAAAAATGGACCGGCCGATTCCAAGACTTCGGAGCAAACAAAAAAAACGTCCAGGACTCGAGCTCGAGACGGACTTCGACCCCCGGCATCCGCGGACTCCAGCGCGGCCACGCCCAGCAACACGCCGGTGAAGAACCTCGCTCCGCTGAGTTGCGGGTCGATCCGCAACTGACATGCCACGGGATGTGTGTGTTGGTTGACCCCAGGCGTTGGTTTCAAGCGTGTTCTTTGTTGCTGCTTCTCCTTAGGCTGGTTTCAGGGGAAGTCGAAAGAAAAACCCGCCCATTCTGAGGGCCAAACAAATCCCCCCGACTTTTTGGATACGTGGACAAAATGGGAAACCCGGAAACCCTGGTTGGCCTCTTCTTGGTTCCGCCCAAATCCCCCAAATTTGATACACGAAAAAACGGATTCGCTGGTTGGCCTCTTGGTTCTCCCTTACCCGGCAAGGGGTTCGGTACCCACCTCCCCCGTGGCGTGCTCGGCTCTCCGCGGCGAAAACAATTCTCGGCTCCCCACAGCAGGCTGCTGAGGTCCACGAAGTGCAGCGCCGCAGGCACGCCGTGCTTGCCGTGGGCCTGGGGTTCCCTAAAAGACCAGCCAACCAGCCAGCCAACCAACCAGCCAAACCAACAAACCAAACCAAACCAACAAAACAAACAAACCAAAAAAAGAAACAAAACAAAAACAAAGAAACAACGAAACAACCAAACCCAATCAAACCGAACGTAACCGAACCGAACCAAACCAACCAACACACATGGAGCCAAAAAACGGATCCGAAAAGTCTCCCAAACAGCATGGAACCAAAAACTGGGTCTATGCTTGTGAAACATGGAGACCAGAACAGTTGTGGGAGGGTATGTGATACATGAAGGTGGTGGGCAATGAAAGAATGTCACAAGGACCTAATGACTTTGAGCATGCCTCCCGAACTTCCCGGAAGACCCTCTGGAAAGGAAAATGAAAGCCATCTTCCAAGAAAAAGTTTTAAAGTGGCATCCTCCAATTGAGTCTTGGCCTAAGCCTAAGGGAACCCCCCCGGCAAAAGGAGCCTCACACCGTCAAATCTGAGGCAAGCGCTGCAATCGCAGCAACATTTCCCGTCTCCTCATCAGCTTCTTCCGCGGCGAGGTCAGCAATCTCGGACCTGGGTATTGGATTTGTCAAGTTCTATTGATTTGGACCCCCAACGTGAGTCATTCAAATCACAGCATTGCAAGAAGTGCAAAGTCTGTGTAGGGACTTGGACCCTCACAAAGGATTGGTCCTTGGTTCGCTTCAAACTTTTGCACCCCCAAAAGTGGTCGCGCAAATGGACTCGTGGCGCTCCATGGTGCACTCTCGCGCACCACAGACTCCAGTGCGGGCGAGCGACACCAGCCAAAACACCCCCAGCGCCATCATCATGCCCAGGTAGGGCGGCAGCCCGGTGACCTCGCGCCCGGATCGGTCGCTTGCAACGGTCACCGGTGACGCACATCAGTACGTGCCACACATTCAGGAACCACACCCAAAAAAACGGCGGTGGTCCTTTTGTTTCTCACCTATGGAACTGATGGGATTTTTTTGGCGTAAGGGGAAGGGTAGCCAATTTTGAGAGAGAAGCCCTAACGAGGGAATCCAAGGGGTTCCAGACTTTCCGGGGAGTTCCACCAAGTTGGGACCCTGGTTTTCAACCTCACGGAAATCACGGCTCGTCGGAGAGTGCCACGGGGCCATCTTCACAATGGGCACCATGAGGATGCAGCTCACGCCCACCAGCAGGACCATCTTGCTGTTCCAGCTGGCGACCTCAAGCAAAAGCCAAAGCGCGGCGCGCTTTGGTGCGTTTTCATGGCTTCTTGGAGGGGCATTCGTGGCTAAATTGAGGGGACCCACCAAAATCGAGTTGCTTTCCTTTTGGTGTCCGTTGAAAAGGTCAACTACCAACAAAGGGCAAGAAGCCAGGGCCCTTTCATCCTTTGACGTTTGTGGAACCAAGATGGTTGAATCCTTTCTGAATCTCCATGGAACAAGGCACCAACTATCAAAATGGCCCTTTTGGGGTTTGGGCAGTGAAACAGGAATCCGCCCGGGATCCCTGAAAATACAGGTAAAGCAACGCAACGCGTTGCTACTTTCCAGCCGGCCCTCCCCAAATCTGACTTTCATGACTACCAAAAAGCGAGAAACGGTCAACTCCATGATGGAAATGGGTTCTGGAGATGATGTTGGCATGCTGCAGTGAACAAAGCTGCAGCCTGCAGTTTTGCTTTCAGCCTGAACATGGAAACATGTGCCCAAGGTCGAGTAAAACTACACGTTCGTCATTTGAAATAGGTCTCGGCTCCTGCTTAGCTGGCACGCCATGTTGAGAAATAGAATGAGTGGTGTGCCGTTGGAGTGTGTCTAGAGTCTAGACGTTTTGGTTTGCTTGTTTCCTCTTGGGTTCAGTGCGCTCTGGCTCTCAGCGTCCGCTGTTCAAGCGCCTGCAATGTCTTTGAGTGGACTTACGTCTAGCCAACCCCAATTTAAGATGGCTTACAGTCATGCCTTTTTGAACCCGACTAGGCCGTTTTAAACCCCCGGGTTGACTTGGGATGTACAAGGGGTGCAACCCACATCTTAATGCAGCCCCCCGCGGCACAAGGTCCACTTCGCTGGGGTAGAAGCCTCAAAGATATATTGGGCACGCCGCGCCCAGAAAAAGAGTATGTGCTTCCGAAACTTGAAACGAGAGAATGTCCCGCGCACCCGGCGGAAAGCAAAAAAAGGACCCATGCACCCCCAAAAAACGTCGTGTCTTGCCAAGACCGGATGATGGTCAACTTGTAAAAATGGGCCTGTCGTTCTTTGAGGATTCCCATTTTGGGACGCTTTAAAGAGAAGCCATAAGGCAAACCACCATAGGCTCCCCAAAAAAGAAGCCGCGAATGGCCAGGCGAGTCGGAATCCCATCCGCGGCGCGGGTGCTTCGATCTCCGGCGACTTCTCCGAGGTTCCATATCGCTTGGCCTGATCTGATCTGAGCGCGTCTGTCCCGTGTCTTTCTTGTCATTCAGAACTCCCAAAGCTCCTGACCCTTGGCTTTGGGCTCGCGGTTTGCAGCCCCAAGACCCTTTTCACCGAGAGAGGCGTACGGCTTCTGAAGCCTCGTTGAAACTTGGATAGCAAGCTCCAACGAGGCTTCCCTAAACTTGCAGTTTGGTTGGAGCCTAAGTGGTGTGCCATTGAGGCGGTTCAGAGGTTGACTCTTAGAAGCTCACCCGGAACCATTCCCCGTCCAAAGCTTAGATTGCTGGGCAGTACAGGGTCTTGGCCGAGTATCCGGGCTACAAATGGCTCAACGCATTTCACTGGCACCTCAATAGCACCATAGACCCTCAATAGCACCTCAATCACGCGCAGTTTTTCTGGAATCCACTAAGCAGTGCCGCAATAGTGCGTGAATAGTGCCTGAATAGAACTCAGTGACCACGAGCACAAATCGTGGTAGGTTTCGGTTGGGCTCGGGCTGGATGAGGACAACCATCAGTGTGGCAGTGCCTTCTCCCGAAAAAGCTCGCGAGGTCTTTGGAAACGCACTTTCCGGACAAGCAATATTGAGCAAATTTGGAGCGAAGGGTGGGTTGCGGGAGGGTCCTTAAATGCCTCTGAGTTTCAGCAAGACGTCTTGAAAATGGCCATGGGTCAAAATCCCGTACCCCCAGTGAACATTCCAATCCCCACTAAAATAGGTTCTAAAATGGGTAGTGAATTCACCCACCCAAAAATGGGATCCTTGGCTTTGACAACCACAGCCAAATGACCCTCTTTGCGTGGCTGAGATTGGAACCACCACCCGAAAACTGGCGTCGCTCTCTCGCACGACTGGCTGGGTGCCTGCCACCAGATCCCGAAGAGGGGCACCACTCCGGCGACGAAGGAGGGCAAGAAGAGCCACACCACAGTTCCTGGCATCGGTGAATGAACAGAAACCGACAGCGGAAAAAAGAGGAGCGTGCCCCAACTCCTTCAATATAACTCCAAAAACGAAAAATCGTTTGGCACCTCTTGGAGGTGTTGAACCTGAAACATGCTTTTCTGTGGGCAGTTCTTGCCGAATTCCGGTCACCTATTTGCTCACTGCCAAAAATGTTTCATAAACTGATCAAGTAGATGGCCGCGCCTGCCGTGGAAATCTTCCCCTGGATCCACAGCATGGTGGTGGTAACATCACCAATCCTTACCGCGGGGCTACCACGCCAGGCACATCTCACATAGACTGCCTAAGGAGTCTGTCGGGGCACGAGAGACTACCTTTGGAAGCATTGATCCAAATCTGAATATTTGGGAAAAGGGAGGCCCTTGACAGATGTCACAGGCGTGGCAAGCAGGACAGATTTGGACACCATGCTTGAAGTGTCCACTGTGTGGTCAGAAGGTCTCGTCTCTTTGGCTGGTCAGAAACAGATTGTGTTGCATGCTGATACCTCCGATTCTTTCCTATTGTGCCAACCCTCCTTTTGGATGTTCTTTTGTGGGGGTAACCGATGTGTGAGTGGCTCTGAAGGCGACAGCCTGTATGTAAGTGTGTAGGTATGCGGACGTACGTAACGTATGTGTGGGTGCGTGTCTGTTTGTCTGTGTGTCTGTGGGTCTGTGTGTCTGTCTGTCTGTGTGTTTGTGTATCTTGTGTTGCCTTGTCTTGTGTGATGTTGTGTCATGTGATGGCTATGGCGGTTGTACTGTATTTGGTCATGATATATATATATGTGTATATATATATATATATATATATGTATATGCATGTGTGTGTCTGTGTGTGTGTGTGTCTGTATTATGATGTGTATGTGCATGTGCATGTGTATGCGCATGTGTAGCATATGTGTAGCGAACTTATGTGCATGTCAATGTGTATTGGCATCATTTGCGAGAGAGCGCAAGAGAGAGAAATGTGAGACAGAGAGACCAGTGTAACAGAGCGAGAGTAAAACAGACTCGACAAAACTTGCGCAACGCATGGCGCATGCGGGTGTTTCTAGCAGGTGGGGTGGTGTTCCCATTGGTTTCCCTTTTTGGTTTCCCTTTGGTTTCCCGTTAAAATACCCTTCTTGAGGGGTAACTGCAGAACGAAACCCTGCACCAGTGGGTCACAGAGAAAGTGGGGTTTCCATCTGGCCAAGTCTTTCTCCAGCTTCTGACAGTCAGCCCAGCCACGGGCTCCAGGCCCCGCCGGCATTTGCGGCAACGACCACCAGACCGCCGCAGGAGTGGCGCCAGTCCTCGCCAAGACGAAAGCCATGGACCGACATTTCGCACCAAAGCAAACGAATAGAATGATATGATCCCCTGTAAATACCAACAAACAATGGTTTCAACCATGGTGTCTTGGGTGGTGCAGGACAAGTGTCAACTTACTATGTTGGTTCCAGACAATTCTGGCAAAAAATAATAACAAAAATGCGAAAGTTCCAATATTTAGTTCCAGCCACTTGTTTGTTGCCACTTTCAACAACAAAAAAACGACAAACTGTTTCACATTCGGTTAGGCAAGACTTGATTCAGCCGTTGTGCAAACCACGGTTGAAACCACTGCTTCCACAACCTCTGCTTGGCTTCCCTTCAAAGGGGACTGGGCACCAGTTTAAACATAGTTTGCCCCGCTCGATCGCTAGATCCAACTTCCGAAAAAGCCTGTATGGTTTGCAGGAGGCTACAAATCGACACAAGATCCAACTTGAGTCTTAAATGTCTGTTCCTGCACCTAGCTGTTCAAAGAACTATGTTGACTTTTGGCCCGTTCCAAGCACGGCAAGAATGTCCGAAAGAACGCAGCAGGTTTCAGGTACCCGATCGATTTGGCCAGTGCTGCCCCTTGATCACATCGTCCCATCCCTTTGATCCGCGCTCAGCAGCCCCCTCTGGACCGAACTGAACAAAATCCTTCGCAAATGCTCCATAAAGTTCTCCAAGTGGGCCCCCTGAAATGGCGTTTTCGTGTTGGTTTCCTTTTTTGCGCAACCAAACGAGGCTCCGGAATCCATGTGGGTGCGTCCTGTTTTAGGGAAACCCCCAAAAGGGTGGCTTTCCTTTGGATAGTTTCCCTTTAAAACCATACAAGGGTACTCATTTTGGGAGACACTGACATGGTGTTTCGGACGTATGTCCCGCACCCTGGGTTCGCTCAAGAGCTACAAGCCAGGCCTTGTTGTGCGGCACAACCTTCTGAAGGATCTTGATGCACACAATGGTGGCAGTGAGGTTGTCAATGATCTGGGCCGTGATGTTGGTTCAAGAAAAAAATCTTTACAAATCACAACCTTCGGAAAGGCTCGCCGTGGGGCCTGCTTCTGTAAACAACAACGAGAACCATTTGCAGACCCGAAACGCAAACCTCGAGTTTTCCCGGCCCCGGGGCTCCAAGTCCTGAGCTCATGGTGTCGTATTTGCGCTGGTTTAAAAAGGGGTGAAAACCAAAAAAAACGCAAAGTGAGGAAATAGATCAATGAACATGTCCGAACTCTAACATGAACTTCTCTCCAAAGATGCTGACCGAATCGTTAGCGCTCAAATGTACTTAAGCAAGGAAATACATGACTTGGCGTGCATTTATCTTAAATTAGTAGAGCTGAAGCCGCATGTCCCTTGAGTGTCTATTGGTGTTGCATTCCCTGTAAAGGGCAGCCCAATTAGAAGAAACAAGAAGAATGTCTTTCTTTATTGAAGTAAAGTTCAAGAATTAACATGTAAATGTTTAGCTTCAGATTACAAAACAAAAAGTATTAAACAAACTTGAATTGTTTCATTTCAACATGTGTTTTAGAGTATGATCCAAGGCTCAAATTCTTTTGGGAGTGAATTCCTATCTAAAGTCTAACTTAAGATGGTGGGACATCCGACTGAATATGTCCGGTCTTTTTCAAACCCAGCTCAATTCTAGCTGGATCTTAATCAATAACTTCCATTCAAACTCTGATGCAAGACAAATATCGCGATGTCAGTGGCTTCAAAAACCCAGGTCCCACGCCGACCCACTCTCTACTAAAAATAATAAGGATAATAGTAATAATGGTAATAATAGCAATAATAGTAATAGTAGTAATAATAGTAGTCATAATTGTAGACATATGCGCAAACATCCATCAGATCCCATATTAAGGCCAATATGCATTAGATCCCTACCTGTGCAGATTTCCGCTAATTTCTCTGCAAGCGTTTCGAGCAGATTCAAACGTGCAGGAGATTCAGATCAAACTTGTTCACATCGTTCGAGCCCCCGAGGCATCGTCACGACGAAGAGCCCCTCAGGCTCGGCAGCAGCTCGACCAGAGATGGCGCCTGCAGCTCTTCGCTCATGCGCAAGACCCGGCCATCCGGAAGCAGCAGGCGCAGCCGGGGCGCAGCCACACCAGCTTCCGCAGAAATGGCTCGGCACATCTCTGGGACGGCTCCAGGATGGGCAAGAGCCAGAGACATTCTGGCGAGCTCCCTACCGCTAGCCTGCACAGCGGCCACTGTGACCTCCTCCGGGTTGGCATCCTGCGAAAAGCTGAGGTTTGCAATGACGACGTTGGAGTCCTCGTTCGCCCACTTCTGGCAGCATCCAACCGCTTGGTCAAAGAAGGGAATGTCCTCTACGCTGATCCGATGGCGGAACACCACCTCTCCGCCGCCATCAAACAGCTCGACTACATGCCCCACTGCACGCAAGCGGTGGTCATACTCATCATCAGCCATGTTGAAGATTGCGAAGCTCTCGACGTTCACGGGCTTAGCCAGGAGCACCTCCAGCCATCCGTTCTCCGCGTGGGCTGTATGATTGCAGGGATCTCCACGAATTCCATCAATGACACACTCCGCGCGTCCGTAGGCACGCCCATCCCCCTGCAAAGTGGACTGTTTGGCAGATCCGCCATTCTTTGGCAGCGCATAGTTGACCCCGTCAACCCCGTAAACCTCGACTTGGTATAGATGAATAGGATTGTCCGCTGACTGGTGTGACACTCGCAGCTTACTCACAGACTCCCATGTCAGTGTCTTGCCGTCCTTTGTCTGAGGCCGCACGTATAGCACTGGAATGTCCTTTGAGTCTACAGTCGACATGGCGGCACCTGCCAATGTTCAAGGACTTTGATGTAAGTTGCTATCTCCTGTCTGGTTTGAATTGATTGTCAACGTTGCCAAGTAGCAACATCCTGAAGTCATGTTGTTGCGCACCTTCCGGCACTAGCAGCAGCAGCTGATAGGGCTGGCTGCGACCGCCAAAGCAACATACATAAAGCCATCAAACGACTCAATCAGGTATCACGCGCTTCCCAACCAGTGTTGCATACGTTCAAACCTCGTGTTGAATTCCAACTACCAAACTCGTGCGATGGTGATCGTAGCACATGCTGAACATCTAGCTTCAAAGCCCGGCCAAAAAGTTGACGTCTTCTATGTAACTGTTACTGTGTGCTCACTACGAATCCATTTGTCCAGAGTTTGGGGCTGGCTCGTTCAAATTAAGGGACGCAGTACGAGCCATGGGCTTTTGCTCCACGTTGCATGCTGACTTTGGGCATGGGAAATTTGCTATGCCACGAAATAAGGGCCTTTGGTCCAGGAATCCAGATGCAACTGTCCGAAATCTGGAACATCATTCATCTGACCGCATCGATAATTTGATTGGGCCAACCCTGGGCAAGAACATATCTGCCTTGTCAGTCCCAGAAACCGCGAGGCGACGTTGAAGCGCCAAGCTGCCGAGCTCAGAAAGAAGGCGAGGATGCAGATGATGGGCATAAGGCGCCCAGACTGCGCCAAAAAGAAACACTGAGCGGAAGTCCCAGAAAACCCTGTGCCTTCAAATGGATCTGTGTGAAAAGAGTGGTTTGGACCACACGAAAAAACTGGCGGCGTTCCTTTCGGCTCTCCTTTGAAAAACACAAAAGGTAAGAACCTAGCACCATCACCAGCAAGGTAGCTGGATCCTTGGAGCGCCAGTTCTGCCCATTTTGGTTCTGAGATGGGAACGGTTTAACCAAATGGAGCCAGCCAAATGGCCAATGGGAATCGGATTTGGGCGATTCGCATTCATGGCTTGCAGGGCTTCGATGCGGTCTCATGTCACCAAGGCTGGGAGAGCATGGGCCAAGTACAAGAAAGCGTTTCTCAAACTCAAGAACAAGTTGACCAAGGTCTGCATGCGCGACCTGTCTTGTCGCGCCTTCTCCTTGGTGCTGCGGATGATAAAGGATGTCACCACCGCGAAGCCTTGCCTTGGATATGCAGAATCACTTGGTCAGGATTCACGTCCACCAACTACCTGTGAGGAGTAGTTCCAAGTCTTAAAGATTGTCACGTAGCAGCTAGCGAAAGCAAACTGGTGAAAGAGGCTTCTCTGACTCCAGCGAACCTTCCATACATGGTGCTTGTCTCGGTTTCAAAGAGTGCTGCCAGAGATTCACTGAGCAAAGTGCTGGCCCTCCCTCTGTTCCCCTCCACTCGCGCTCTTGCGCGACAAGCAAAACAGCAGGCACATCTTTTCAAGCCGCTGATAGACTTCTGCGAAAACATGCCTGGCATCTAACCTACTCTATAATCCGGGTTCTGTTTCAGAACTCTCATGCAAAACTAAGGGGCCTCAAAAGATGATAGGCCATCACCTCGTTGAGAGGCTTCGGCTCCCGAACGAGAACTGACCCATCCGGCCCGGGCTCTTGCCTCCCTCTTTACCTTCTCTCGCATTTTCGGACCGCCGCAAAACACACGCGGCTCCAAAAGCAAAAGCGGCGCCAACAGCCTCACCTTTCGGCAGCTCACTCGGGCTTCTTCGTGGTCAGCAAGGCGACGATCTTTTGCCAGGCCCCTCCGTCCGCCAGCATCTTGTCGCCTGAAAAAAAGGGCGCGGGGTCAACTACTTGGCGCTAGCACCTGGCATTCCGATGGATGATCAAAGGGTTTTGGGAGACGAAACCCATTTTGGAATATTGGAAAGTCAAGTCCACTTCCATTTTTTGGACAAAGAGGAGGCTCGTAGAACCCCCTGCAGCGTAGCAACAATTTGTGTGGGCCCCAATTCAAGGTACCCTCCCAACAAACCTGGCTCCTGTTGGGCGCCAAGCCATGTTAGGGCAGAGCCACCTCAGGTCTCTGGGTGTGTTTAATTGGGTGGTCGTTGCTTGTTTTTTGTTTCCGCGACTTTTGCGGTTTGGCGTTTTCAGGTTTTCTGGTTTTCAGCTTGGCCCGCCTGTCGTGCCCAGATTCTCCACCTGGAACTTGTAGCCGTCGGCCACCAGGTCCTTCCAGGCCTCCAGCGCCTTGTCGTCGAAGCTCAGGGCGCTCTCGGGATCCGAGGCCGTGAGCCCCTTCTTCAGCTCGTAGATCTTGTTGGCCCACACCTCGGACCAGTGGACGCAAGTGGACGCGAATGGACGCGAGTGGATGAACGAGTGGATGGACGCGAGGTGTTTGTGCGGCAAGACGGGCCCCCAACAAAAAAAAGAGCGCGCCGCGAGGTTTGTTTGGGTTGAAGCTTTCTGGGGGGGGGGGGGAAAGAGCATACCCAATTGGTTTGATGGGCTAGGAAATCGGCGGTCTGAAAGGTCACAAGTTTAGCTGCTTCTTCTGTTGTGCTTGGCTGGTTGGCAAAGACGTGCTCCAAAAACGCTCAAAGCTGATTTCGGTCATGTCCTCCAAATTGTACGGGCAGCCGAGGCGCCGTCATGCAAGGATCGTCCCCCGCTTTCAAGCCCTTGATCAGGCCGCTCTCCTTGACCAAGGGCGCGACGAGCGACTGCTGGATCATGTCGCTGGCCTTCTTGTAGATGCTAATGGTGCTCCTCAACTATATCTGGTGGCTTAAAGGGAATCCCACCCTCCATTTAGTCAGACATCCACTGAACAATCGCCGAAATCGTCTGTTCAAAAGGAAACGACGATGCTCCCATGGAAGGGTGCATCCGTCAATCTGGCCTTGTAGCAATGGATGTGGCCTTTTTGAGGGTCCGTTAATCTGCAGGGGTGTATCGGGGTCCATTGAAGTGACATCCCCAAAATCGCCAAAATCAAAAGACCGAGCATCTCACTGAGCTCCTTCCCCCCCCCCCCCCCCGGCCCCAACGTTTTGACAATTCAAGCTCCGGTTAAAACATGTGGGAAGAATTACATGGTGAACAACCTGCTCGTGGCCGAAACCATGGTTCAACGGCCTCCTTTCCGAACCTCAAAAATTGCTCCACCGTTAACAGGTATTCGGGCTGATGTTTGAACCAAGTTCGGCTCAACCCGGTTCCTCCGGAAGTAGTCATCCGGACCCTCGGGCACAGTGTGCATGTTCAGCTTCTCGTTGTACACCTCGAACCAACTCTTTACATGGTCCATGGTGTAGGGGTATGGCACGTTCTTGTCCGCGCAGCCCTTGCAGTTCTCCTGGAACATCTTTTGGTATCCTCGGTTGCTTTCTGCTCCTCTAAGAGTTTAACTCTTAGTGGTTTAATGGAAAACCCAATTAGTTCACAACAAACAAGTTAAAGTCCTAACATCCAAATGCAACAAAGTATCTGTCCCAGTCCGCCTTACAGTACTCGTAGAACTTCTCCACGGGATGCATGGTGTGGATCAGGGAGTACTTGTATGCGGCTTCATCCCCCCAGGCCAAACCCATGGAGGGGAAGTAGCTGGAGAAGACACCTCGGAATGCAACCGGGTAGCCCTAACTCATGGGTTCGATCGACCTCTGTTGAAACAACCTCCTGGTCTCCCCCAGATGGCTGACTGGTTTAAGCAAATTGTGCAAACCCTGCCTCCAGCCCACATCTCATACTGCACGTTGGTCATGTACACCGGCTGATCTGGCTGCGTCTCGCTCTTCTTGTGCACCGGCAGAAGCTTCATCATGCCCTGAGCACAGGCCTCCAGGGTTCAAACAACCACACCCTCCCAGCGAAGGGACACCAAAAGAAGCTGGACACAACACTGGCTTCACATCTGGCAAAAACTTCGGGGGTGAATCCCCCGAGTTTGGGGCACGGGTAAAGGGTCGTCTCAGGCTAAATATGCTCATATTGCCTCCTTGGCTTATCGGACATCAGCCCCCCCCCCCCATGTTTGGCACAAGAATACAACCAGATATTTGGGTGTCCCCTTTTCTAAGGTACCCCCCGCAAAAGTCAAAAACGCCACCAAGATTCCCCTCAAGCCAAATTCAAAGAAAATCGTGGTGTCCTTTTGTTTCCCTTCAAACACGCCACCAAGATTCTCCCCCCTCAACCCAAAAAAAGAGCGACCCACTGACAAATCCTTCCGCGCCTCCCGGAAGAGCCAGGGGTGGTTGTGCAGGTAGTACCACTGCTTCACCACCCCGCAGGCCCCGGGCCCCGCGGAGAAGGTGGTGAAGCGCCGCGCGTCCATGCCCGTGGCGTCCGCCGTGATCACGCGCCGGAAGTCCCCGTTGATCATGTTCCCCACCCGGTGGGTCATGGCGTGCAGCTTGTCCACCCGGGGGTCGCCGATGAGGCCCAGGGCCTCAAGAATCCCACGTCAAGACTTGAGGCGGATATCCGCAACGGATTCTGGCGGGGGATTTCCCTAACCTTCATCTACCCGGGTTTTGATTGTGGCTCAAGTGGCAAAGTTGCCTCATGAAGGGGATGGGCATGAGTCCTCGACTCTTAAAAGTCAGGAACAGTCCGCCAAGACTGCCCTTGCGCGGACGAAAAACGGGGCCTGGACATGCCCGCGGTGCGTTGGTGCCCCTTGGATGGGTGAACTTGCACTCCTTTGCCAACCCCCTCCCCCCTCACCCAAAAACGAAATACAAAAAACGGCTTCTCCCGCAAATTGGAGGAACCCCCCAAACCGGGGAAACAAAAAAAAAAGTCTTCCCGCCTCTAACCCCCCCCCCCCTTGCCTTGCAGATGTGGTTCATGTCCTCGAGCTTCTCGCCGCCCGTCAGATGCAAGGTCTTGGCGGTGCACCGTGCGAGGGTGTCGACCCGGTACTCCAGCAGCCCGTAGGCGCAGCAAAGGAAGGTCACGTCTCCGATGCCGAAGCGGCTGCTTTGCCTCGGTTCGGTTTGGGAACTTTTTGGGGAGGGAATGAACCAGAAGAGGCGAACCAGAAGATCTTCTGGTTTGCCTCTACAGTTGTTCGGTTTGAAGGAACAACAGTTTTGGGAATGAACCAGTTGGTTTCGGTTTGGGAACTGTTTTGGGGCGAACCGGAAGATCTTCTGGTTTGCCTCTACAGTTTTGGTTCCCTCTCGTTGGGAATGAACCTGAACATTCTCGTAGAAACCAGAAGAGATGAATAGCTCAGTGCGCTCTCTCTCTCTCTCTCTCTCTTTCTTGGAACCCAAGTTGCTTGATACCCACGTCCGTGGGGTCGTTGCCCATCTGCACGGCGTAGAACTTGTAGGGGTCTTCCAGCCCCGCGAGCTCGTACATGGGCTTGAACTGATTCAGCAGCATCCACGCGGGTGTGGGATCTGGTCCCTGATGGCAAAACCAGCAAGGCATTCTAGGGCACAGCAGGCTCTTCCTGCGCGTGATGATGTACACCTTTGCCGCGGCATTCTCCACGCAGCTTCTGACGTTCTCCACCGCAAAAGCGCCGTTGCCAAGGATAGCACAGCGCGCGTCCTTCATCCTGCCATCATCCCACACAAAAGACCCTCCTTGACCATTGCCCATGCCATAGCCGATCTGCCCCCCTGCAGCAATGAACTCATCCTCACCCGGATACTCGATGATACGATTGATCTCATATGCACCGGGGTAGTGGTACACCACTGAGACCTTGACTGTGGAGCTCACACCTCCAGCGCTGGGGTCGCTGTAGGCGTTGTAGCCACCAGAGGGCAACACCACAGCGCCATCCTTGTCCAACTTCTTCAAGCCCAGCTCGTAGTAGCGGTCCTCAGCTTCAGGATCCCCAACCACCTTCAAGGTGGCAACCTCCGTGGAGTAGTTGCAGTACTGGCCTTGCAAAAGATGACCGCGTGTTCAAACCGATGTTTGGTTCAAACCCGAGAAACAAAAAAAAGAAGAACAAAAACATAGGACGCCAAACACGGTTCAAAAAAAAAGAAATGATGTCCGAGCCACTGAACTTGTACTCCTCCGTGGCATACTGCATGGCATCCAAGATCTGCTGCCGGACCTTGGTTGCTGTTGACCCCCCTGCAAAAAGTTTGACTTTTTTGGGGTTTAGTGGAAAACCCAACTTCATTTCAACCAAAAAGTTAAAGTCTAAAGATCCAAGCCAATGGCAATCAAGGGACCGGGTGGTAGTCCACCCCCGTCCCCGCGCCGGAGCCCTGCGGCGGGGCCCCGGGGCCCTTGAAGGACTTGGTGAACTGCCCGCGCCCGCCGTTGCCGGGGTTGGAGCCGTAGCCCCCGTCCCCGCTGAAATTGAACTGGAGGGTCCAGGCGAAAAGAGCAAACATACCAAATATGCCAAACAAACAAAAGCACAAAGAAAAAGTGACAGTCAAAAAAAAAAGAAAGAGAGAAAGAGAGAAAGAGAGAAAGAGAGAAAGAGAGAAAGAGAGAAAGAGGTGGAAGCCGCCAGCTAAAGTTGCATGAACCGCCAATGAGGCCTAGTTTAAAGGGAAACCAAAAGGCAACTACCCCTTTTTTGGTGTCCGTCACTTTGAGACAAACCCAAATGGTCATGCCATTCAGGGAAGCACCAAGGCTTTTTGCAACCATATTTATTTTGTCAACCAACCGCCTGGTGGCCCCACCAAATGTTGAAGGCGCCGAAGTCTGTCTGGCAACGGGAGTACTTTGTCGCAGAGTACATCCACGCATCACCACCTGCACGCTTGTGTCGGTCAAAAAGGATGATGTTCTCATTCTTGTGGTGCATGTACCTTGCCCAGGCCACCCCGGAACGAAAGGTGGACTGTTGGCACTGACTATGGACCGACTTTTGTACAGCAAAAAGGACTAGAAAAAAGCAAGAAAGTATGAGGGGCACTCCGCTACAAATTAACCTGAAGCTCATTTCTTTAGGAACCTCCTTTGGGATCGGACCCCTTTTGCGACTGCGTGGATCTGTGTCTTTTGAGCATACCCTTCCAGGTTGGCTTAGGAAACCAAGAGACAAAACACCGAAATACATGTTGGATGCCCGGCCCGAATCCCCATTTTGACAAAATCCACAGGTAATGGCAGGGGCCCTCCTTTTGTCAAAGCCACTTTGAACTCTTCGTTTCCTCGTATTTTGTTCACTTCTTTTTGGCTCAATTTGGGTTTCATCCCAGGCAAAGGGGTTTGCCATTCGGCCGGAGGCGCTCCATGGCCGTCTTGATGCCGTAGAAGCCACAGCCGATGATGCCCACGGGGTGGGGGTAGCTGTACCTCGCGTGCTGGAAGTCCTCCAGAGGTTCGTTTCCTTTGCCATGCCCGTCGTTGGGTCCCCTCCCAAAACAAAAGTATAACCCAACGCATGAACGATTTCACTGCAAAAGTCCCCCAAAACTAATATATATATATATATGTATATATATATATATATATATTGTGTGTTTGAATATATATATATATATATGGAGATATAGATATAGCTATATATCATCTATATAATCTATAATGTATACATATTTCCCTCTTGTAGACCGGGCCCCAAGTCCCCAGTCGGCCTCCGAAGCCCGTCCTCCAGACCCTCGACCACAATGGCACTAGGCACCACCGAGTCCGGGGTGAGGGCCCGGCCTTCCAAAGAGCTCGCCGTCAGCTTGGTGCCCCGGCGGTAGCTGAAGATGTTCCCAACCGCCTGGCAGCGGTTGAGAACCAAACCCCCCCCCAAAAAAAAAAAAAACAGGAAACAGGAGTGAGAAATGTGGAAAAACGTGGCCAAACCATGGAACTATCCATATATCACCAAATGGTATCCCCGCGAATCTCGGTGCGACCTCTGTTTCAACCATGGTGTTTCTTGTTGATTTTTCTGCCCGTGTTTGTTCAAACCCAACTGAGGTTTCAGGTTGCCCTGACCTCCCCGAACCTTGCCCGAGTTCTTTGGTTTCCCTGTTGGGGTTGGACCACTTCGACGGACTTCCCGAAAAAACTTCGCCTCCAGCATCTCCCCCACCGTGGTCTCAGCTTCCGCCGGGAGGTCCAAGACCTCCTCCTAGGATGCTCTGGCCAAAAAAAAAGGCGGCTCGTCGTTTTTGAGGGGACCCCGAAACATGGATGGTCTGCCTGTTGGTGCCCTTTCAAAACTGCGAACACAAGGGGCTCTTAAGGAAAACCACCAGGAAAACCGGTGCGCCAGTCAGTTTGGGGGCCAACGCGCACAAAGTTCGGACCTTCCATGGAACCTGACTGGCTCCCTTGGAGGGCTATGAGCTTCAAGAGACCATGGCTCTGCTTCAAAGCACAAGGTCAACATCCCATTTCCGGTCGGGTTCCATGCAAACCTTGGACCAATCTTCAGGTCCCCGGCCTTGCCCTTGATTTTCAGGGTGACGGCCTTGTACTTGCCCTTCTTCTTTCCAGCGTCAGCTTGCTCGTCGAATTTCCCCTTGAGGAGCGTGACGTCACATTCGAACTTGTGGTAAAATGCATCTAGCGTTTCAGAAGCAAATCCTAGATCGCTGGCATAGACCTTCTTATCCACCTGCTCAAAGTTCAAGTAGTTGAAGGCCTTCACCACCTGAAACTGTCCCAAAATCTGCGGAACCCCCAAAACAAAAAAAGTGCATGGCTTCCTATTGCTTTCCCTTGAAAACCCCAAACAGCCTCACAAAAAAGACACACCCCGAATAGCCGGCCGCCGGCCGCCTTGTTGGGATCCGACTTGAGCTCCTTCTGGCCCTGCTCAGACAGAAGCGGCACATGGGGCGGCGCCCGGTCCGTGACGAACACCGCGCAAGGCACGAGGCCGTACTTGACCTCGGATCTCGACGCGCGTTGCTGCGCAAAAACAAATCCGACTTGCTGGTGATGGGGGGCAAAAAACGCGGATCATCTCCAACCCAAAAGCAGAAAAGGATCCGGAAGCCCAATATCCCGCCAAGCAACCCTCCACAAAATCCGCATGTTTTCCCCCAAAAAACAAAACACGGCCGCCGGCCGTTTCAACGAATCCTCGGTGCTCGGCTTTGATCCAATCGAGGCGCCAGGATGGTCTTCGCCAGCCACGTCAACAGCTGGCAGCCCACAGACCGTCCAAAGAAGGCGAAGGGCGCACCCTCGTACTTTGCACCCTCCTGAACGACGGGACGTTGGGGGGGGGAAAAGGAAGGAGGGGCCGGGTGAAAAATCCGGCGAAAAAGGCGAAAAGATCTGGCCCAAGTGTGAGCCTCTGGTCACTCTGCAAAGGCATCCACCTTTTTTGGGTGGCTTGAAGCAGGCAAACCCAGAAAAAAACCGATGCGCCATATTGGGAGGGGGGGTTGTATGAGTCGATGAGAGATGTACTTTCGCTGTGGAGGGTGGCACTTTCGGGTTTTTGGCAGGCGGGTCTTCGATCTTCGAAGGCCGGTCTGCCCGCAATTTGGCTTCCTGCCTTTCTTATTTGGACAGCACCAACCTGATCCCCTGAATTCACGACCCCAAAAGCGGTCCCATCCAAGAAGATCTCGTGTTTTCGGGGTGCCCGTTTTCGTGTATCTATGTTCGGGAAGTCTTCAAACTGATCCTCTTTGGCTCCTCCCGTTAAGTTGGGGGGGTATTCCATCCACAGTGATACCCACTCAACAAAGTGTGCCAAGCTTAGGACAAAAGCCCAAGCCCCTGCAAATGTCTGGCTCCGCCAGAAATGTTCAAGAGCCAGGAAACTGCGGATAACATGAAATATGTCCAACAAATATAAGAAAATAATGAAAATAACACTAATAAAACAATACTCATAACAACACCTCGGTCCTGCTGACTAAATGCTCCAAACTAAGAAATCAAAACATCCATAGCGAAGAAAAACACAACTGGCCCTGATCCATATCCCTCAAAGCCACCCCGCGTTTTCCACTGACCTTCCGTCCGGTCACCCGTCCAGTCGGGTGACAGGTCCGTGCTCTTCTTTTCCCATGGCTCCCCTTTTCGGGGGCGATTTCTTGGCGGCCAGAGGGCGATTACTATTTTTCTCCACCCTCGCGCCGCGGAGCATGAGAAGTCCCACCTTCCACACAGAAAGAACACGAGCCCTCGCCCTCCCGCTTCGCCCTCCCCCTATATCCCTCCCTCCGTTTCTTTTCTTCTCAATTTTCTCGGCTCCGCTGGATCGGCTCGAAGGCGTCCCGCCTGCAGCTCCTCGATGGCCGGCCGGAGGGCCTCGAAGGCGTCCTTCGCCAAGGCCTCGAAGTTCTCCGCCGCCGGCTCCGAGGCCCTCGCCCCGTGGCCCGGGTACTCGTAGGTCCCAATCTGATCGGCACGGGCCGAATTTGGCCGCGCCCGGGGAGGTTTTGCCGCGCCCGGGGTTGGGGGGGGAGGTGTGTTTTTCAAAGGACAGTGGGGAGCCCAGGGGCGTCTTGAGGTGTTGAGCCAAGCAAAACCAGGCTCACGACCTCCGAAAAGCTACGCACCCAGGTCGGCTCCCTCCCTCCCTCTCTCTCTCTTTCCCTGGCCTCCGCCCACTTGGGCACCATGGAAGCCATGAACTTCACATCTTCGGCTGCGTCCCCCGGCCCGTAGAACACAAAGACCCGCATCTTGATGCCGCCTAATCAGGAAGCGCCACGCGCAACAAGGTCATACCAGGTGCCTGCTGGCAAAGAATGAAAAAGCCAGAACAGCGCGCCATGCGACACAACTTCACATTGACAAACGCGGAGATTCTGCATGTTATTGCCTTGCTGTTTGGCCATAGCAAGATAGCGAGTCAAACTCAAGCCACAGTCCGGGAGCATCACGCGGCTCACCTTCGAGCCGGGTTTTCCTGTTGGCTTGGAAACCATCCAAAACGTTCGTGCCCAAAAAGGAAAAAAAGAAGAAACACGACCTCGAACGAAGCCCGCTGCGTGGATCCGAGAGCCGCGAGCCTTGGGGCGTGTTGATGGGATCGATCTGCGGCAACCCCACGGTGCGGGGCATGCTGCTCATGGACCCAGTGAAGGCCTGGGAAAAAGCCGCGGGGCACGGCTCGGAAGTCCCGGGATTTTCCCAAAGATAGCTCAACAGCGCCCCAGCCACTTCCCTTGGGAAACCAAATGGGTGTGATAAAATAAGAAGAAGAAACAAAAAGGAAAAAAAAAAAAAAGAGAGTGTGGTTTGGTTGTTCAAACAATATCTGCTAAACAAAGGCTTTTCATCGCCGGAAGTCGCGCCTTGAGCGTCTTCTTCTGCATGGTGACGCCACTCAAATTCGCCAGCGCCTCGGTGTCGCCCTCAGCGATGCGCTGCTCGATGGCATCGTCCAGGTCGTCGAAGTCCATGACGGAATGCAAACGAGAATGCGAACAAAAATCTGGGGCCAAAATGGCGGTCTGGTGGGCAGGAAAGCTTGGGTGTGTCTTTCTTTGAGGGTGCCACGTGTTTTATGGTCTTAAAGGGAACCAAGAGGAAGCCGTCGCATCTTTAGAAAGACAGACCCATTTGTGGGTGGCAAGAGGCGTGACACAATCATGAGAGCAGCTGCAACTTTGGTGAGTCGGGAAGCACACTGAACCCATCAGACCTGAGACACAGACCTGAGAGGTCAAATCAAAAGCCGTGATATGGGAGTGCAAGAAACGGTTCCCGAGGATGGGCCTTGGCCTTCCGCTTCCGACCAACTGGTGAGGTGGGGTGAGTCACAATCAAAGCCTGGCACTAGGACTTTAAGATGGTCTACCCAAAACCATGTAAGGCATCAAAATGGCAGCTGCGCCATTTGGGTGTGGCTCAAAGTTAAAGAGCGATGGTTGCGCAGGTGCTAATCTTTGGTTCAGTATACCAAAATGCTAGTTGGCACATTTGTGTTGAGCCACAGACATGTTTTGGGGCTGGGGCTGTCCCTTACTGACAGCAACAAGCCGCCTCAGGACCCGTCATCTCTACCAATCCCTCCGAGCCACATGTGGTCGATGGACTCGACGATTCCCATGGCCGGCAGCAGAAAAAGGATCACGCTGCCCACGTCCGACAGGCCCTTGGAACCAAAGAGCACAGATTGACACGAGGCAAGATGAAGCTTAAGAGCCTCGAAAGTCGCGGACCTGAGATTTCCTCTGATTGCTGTTGAGGGCCCCCTTTTTTCACATTCATGCCATCGAACCCAAAACAGAGAGGGACCCAAACAGAGTCCGGGAAAAGTGTGCCGTTTGTTTGGTCTCCGTGCAAATCTGCTGAGCACTCTTCTTTGGAAAAATGGGCATATTGGTGCAATCTTGGTGAGATAACGGCATGCCCTGCGACATTGGCTACCTGGACTCAAAATACTGCACCCAAAATCATGTGAAGAATTGAAAAGGTGGCTGCACCCATATGGTTTGGACTATCCCTTACTAACCTCTTTCTATCCAGGTGCTGATTGCGGCTCATTTCTTAATGGTATATGTGGGTGCAAAGGCCGCATGTCATGTCGTCCCCTTTTCTCCAGTGAACGGTCAATATTGACAGCTCATGGAAGCAGGCCCTTGGCGAATCCCGTGCGCCAGTCCTGCTTTCCAAGCATTAACTTCGGCAAGGTCCCTTTGAGCAGGGCTAGCCTCGGGCGACAAATCTAAGACCTCGTAGGCGGGTTCGCCATATATCAAATCGTCAACCAGCATCAACTTGTGAATATACTTCAACATGTTATGATATATCGCATGTCTTATCTAAATGCGTGTGTGTGTGTGTATATATATATATATAGCTAACTAGGGGGTCCTCCTATTTCCGACACATACCCTGATGCAAAAACCCCTCGCCTTGACAAGCTCGCTGTTGAGCTTCTCATGGCCCTCTGCTGATTGGGTGGGATGGCATGCTGCGGCATGGTACGTCCACATCCTTGGGACGGATGAAGCGTTCAACCCGGACAAGCGGAACAGTATTCTTTCACAGGCCAGCCTGAGTTCACAGATCAGTCAATTCACAAAAAACACTGACCCCAACCGCGTCCTGTCTATGTGGAGATGTGTCAAACATACGGGACCCAACACATTGTAGGTGTCCGTGTGGGTGATTGGCATAGCTCGACAGGCTTCTCAGCTCCTTCCCAAAGACTTTAAAATCCAGGAAGTCAGGGAACGAGATAATTCCACAGGCAACTCATGTTGGGCTCGCCATTGCGGAGATCCCCCCAGAACGTGTCAAAGATCGCCTCTACATAAGGGAGCTTCCCCCAATCAACAAATGTTTGGAGCCCATATGTTTGCAAGTGCTCCACTCGAAGCTGCAGGGATGACGATTCTACCTATCAAGTGGCTCTTTCCCTAGTTTAATTATCAAGTCCCCTTTCAGTGGATTTACCCTCCATACTTAAATCCCACGGAATGCGGGACTCCGGCAAGAGTCAAAACTTGATATTGACTCGAGATAGTTGGAACCAAAAGCTCCGAAACGTCGATTTGGGTTTGTCTTGTTTTGAGGGGACCCTTCATGGCTTCTCTTTGGTTTCCCTCCAAAACAACCACAAAGCAATTACCCTCAACAAACACACATCGATTTGGGCAAGTACAGAAGACCTGAAAACCAACCGGCCCCCCCCCCCGTTCTCGAGGAGGGGGGGTGAATACTTCCGCCGAACACCAGAGGGAAATTATGAGAGCAGGTGCCACCCCTTCAGGTTGGTTTAAAGGGAAACCAAAAGGAGCCACCGGCAAATTGGGATGGAACATCCATATTTCTAGGGGTAACTTCCCCCTTCTTTCCAGCCCCTTTCTAGAAAACTGCCAAACACCCCTGAAGAAACAGCGATCGGCTTTTGAGAAAAGAACCATGGCCGAAAAGAACGGGAAAAGGGAAATCCACCCCAAGATCGATCCCCAGCTCGAGCCCTCGAGCCCTCGAGAGCTGGAGCCGGGCGGCACGGAGGCCAAGACCAGCATCACGGCGGACTTGTCCAGTCTCAGCACGTCCTCCAGGGCCACCAGCAGAATGCCCGTCAAGAAGAGCACCGCCAGGATCCTAGCCGGGTTGCTGCTTCTTTGGGGTGTAAAACAACTTTGTATCCTTTAAAAAAAAATACAGGAGAATTCATACCTGTGTAAAGCCTGTGTAAAACCCCCACATCCTTAACATATGCTAAATATGTTCTGCTTTAAAAGTGCCCGAAGCGGATGAAAGGATGGCACCGAAAGGGCGGGCCAAGCCAATCGACAGGAGGCAAAACCCTTGCAGCACGCAGTCGCTTGTGATTTGGGTAGGTGTACCCTACGAGGCCTTAAGGGTTCGTGGCGAGTGTCAAATGTTTGAGGGCAAAGGGACCGACAGGAGGCACTCTCAAGTTTGTTGGGAGAATCTGGTGGAGCAAGACAAGGGGCCTTTTGATCGAGCTGATTCTTCCGAGAGGGGCTCTCCTCCCAAATAGCGTTCTTATCCCTTTGTGTGGCTAGTCACCGGTGGTCAGCATTTAATTGAGCATAGTTGCTGCCCATGGATTGCCTCGCCCTCGATGACGTTGCTCGGCCAGCCTCGCAAACCGATCTTCGAGCCGCACCCCCGCGGCTATGGCAAGTGAACCAGCGAAAATGAATATCTGGCTTAGCCGCCGAAGAAGGAGAAGAGGAAAATGACTCCAAACCTCAGATGCCAGACTTGGGTAGAAGCCCCTCTTCAGGCCTTTCGCCCTCGCGAATCTGGCTCCGGATTGGTTGCAAGAGCTCAGGACTTGTCCAAGGAGCACTCAGGAGATGGGTCTCGGCGTTTCTTGGTAGTTCAAGGGACCCCAAAAGGAAAACCAACATCTTGGGGGGTACCCGAATCCTCTAGCCCTGAAGTGCTGATGTACCGTGACCTGCCAGCATCCCCAGAAAAAGCAAGAATCTGCACAGCAGCAGCGCCAGCCCGACGATCTTGGTGATCCGCCGCGTGGATTTCACGGCCCCCTCCATGGCTTTTTCACCTTGGCCAAAGCACGACAAGAAGAAACGTGTTTTGTGCTGCTTGAATGCGAAGAACTGACCAAACGACTTCCGGTCCAAACGTTCCGAGAACCCAAGCGACGGAAGCGAGAAGCCGTCACCAAACAGAAGGGCTGAAACAGCGATGAGTCGTTCCGACAATGCACACTTGCTGACATTCTCCGCTCAGGGCATGGGCATCATATATTACATTGAGAAGGATGTGCAAACGACTGCACTGAATGATGTCCAAAGAACAGGATCCAAGCGGAAGCAAGCCACAGCGCCACGAACGTGGGGAAACCCCCGCCTGAGCAATTCACTGGCGAGCCCATGGGGCTGCTGACCCGAATGTCCCGCATGTCTCGCATGTCTCGCACGTCCTCCTGACCGGGGGCGGGGCAAAGTCACGTTGAAGTTTCAACCTTAACTCTGCTGCAACTTGCATGATGCTAGCCCAACGAAAAACTTTCACTGAAGTGGGCAGGGGCGCAGTGTTAAGCAATGAAGGGCAGGCTTGGCATTGCAGCACCACAGGCCTGACAACCTTTGGGTATGTGTCAAACCAGGCAACTTTTTCGATTACGTTGCAAACGCCAAAAGAAAACCATAGAAACCTATAATTTCCAGCTCTTTACAGCTTTCCCATGTGTCTGACAGCTTCCCCGCCGATTCTCCGGGCCCGAACTGTTCATTACTCGCAAAACCCGAATTCCCAAAGCCTCGAGTGTCGGAAAGTTGGCTGCTGCCATTCCCTTAGACAGGCTTTGGAGATTCTGCGCTGGACGATAACCAAGGATCACACAGCAAACAAAAGTCCAATACATCCCCGCATCTGCATGTGTGTGTGTGTGTGATTGAGGAGTGTCTGCGTGTGCGCACGTGCTTGTTGTCGGCGCGCGTATGTTTGTTGTGGTTGTTGTTGCTGCTGCTGTTGTGGTTGTGGTTGTGGTTGCGGTTGTGGTTGTGGTGGTGGTGGTTGTGGTTGTGGTTGTGGTTGTGGCTGTGGCTGTGGCTGTGGCTGTGGCTGTGGCTGTGGCTGTGGCTGTGGCTGTGGTTGTGGTTGTGGTTGTGGTTGTGGTTGTCGCTGTTGCTGCTGCTGTTGCTGTTGCTGTTGCTGTTGCTGTTGTTGTTGTTGGTGTCGGTGTCGGTGTCGCTGTCGCTGTCGCTGTCGCTGTTGCTGTTGTTGTTGCTGTTGCTGTTGCTGTTGCTGTTGCTGTTGCTGTTGCTGTTGCTGTTGCTGTTGCTGTTGCTCTTGTTCTTGTTTCTGTTCTTGTTCTTGTTCTTGTTCTTGTTCTTGTTCTTGTTGTTGTTCTTGTTGCTGTTGCTGTTGCTGTTGCTGTTGCTGTTGCTGTTGCTGTTGCCGTTGCTGTTGTTGCTGCTGCTGCTGCTGTTGCTGTTGTTGTTGTCGTCGTCGTTGTTGTTGTTGGTAACGATCGCATAACAACCCTTGGGGTTTTAACTAGTTTTAGCTTTTACGGGTCCTCATGCGCACGTAGAGCACGGCTCGTTGATCGCATCTGCAGTCCTGCGTGTTTTCATGTCTGGGAGGCAGTGTTGTCGCTAGAGCATGGTTCAGAGATCGCATGCGCAGTCCAGCATGATTTCACGTTTGGAGCGTGGCTCAGACTCTCTTTTTCCTACACTCGTAGCGCTTTCACGCGCGACTCTCCTGCGTTCGGAGGGTGCGTCGACGCTGCCGTGCAGTTTGGACGGTGGCTTGGCGGGCTTCTGGCAGGTTGATCTTATAGTTGGAAGACTTACATTCTGCGCACTGTCAGCCAGGCTTGGCTGCGGACCCCCTCTGTCAATTTGTGCTGGAAACCTCGGCGATCGAAGCCTGCCTGGCTTTTTGAGTTTGCTGCGCTTGCGGAGTCTGTGCATTTGCTATCAACTTTGTGGAGGCAAGTCACACAATCTATCGCTGGACCAACAGGCATTTCGATGGCTGGCTGGAATGCTTGCAGCTGTTCAGAATGCGAAGGGTCGATACGTGACCGGGACCTTGTTGTTGTTGTGGTGGTGGTGGCGGTCGTCGTCGTCGTGGTCGTCGTGGTCGTCGTGGTCGTCGTGGTCGTCGTGGTCGTCGTGGTCGTCGTGGTTGTCGTGGTCTTCGTGGTCGTCGTGGTCGTCGTGGTCGTCGTGGTAGTCGCGATCGTCGTGGTCGCCGTGGTCGTCGTGGTCGCCGTGGTCGTCGCGGTCGTCGCGGTCGTCGTGGTCGTCGTGGTCGTCGTGGTCGTCGTGGTCGTCGTGGTCGTCGTGGTCGTCGCGGTCGTCGTGGTCGTCGTGGTCGTCGTGGTCGTCGTGGTCGTCGTGGTCGTCGTGGTCGTCGTGGTCGTCGCGGTCGTCGTGGTCGTCGTCGCCGTCGTCGGCGGCGTCGGCGTCGGCGTCGTCGGCGGCGTCGGCAGCGGCGTCGGCGTCGTCGGCGTCGTCGGCCTCGGCGTCGGCGGCGGCGTCGGCGTCGGCGTCGGCGTCGTCGTCGTGGTCGTCGTCGTGGTCGTCGTCATCGTGGGTTGTTGGCTGTTGGCTGGTGGCTGCTGGCTGTTGGCTGTTGTCTGTTGGCTGTTGGCTGTTGGCTGTTGGTTGTTGGTTGTTGGTTGTGGCTTGTTGCTTGTTGGCTGTTGGTTGTTGGCTGTTGGCTGTTGTTGGTGATTGTTGGTGATTGTTGGTGATTGTTGGTGATTGTTGGTGATTGTTGGTGATTGTTGGTGATTGTTGGTGATTGTTGGTGCTTGTTGGTGATTTGTTCGTTGGTTGTAGGTTGTTGGTTGTTAGTAGCAGGGTTGGCTGGTTGCTGGCTGCTGAGGCGTTCAACAATCTGAGTTTTCAAAGTACCCTTAAGGTTGCTTTGAAGGGAACTCAAAAAGAATACCAAAGCCTGCGTTGGGGGTTCAATTTTCCTATCTTGACACACAAGCAAACACGCACACACATGCACACGCACGCACACACAAAAAGAGGCACACAGACACACACACACACACACACACGCACACACACACACACGCACACACACACACACACACACTTATCTCGAGAGGCTTCACTAGCCGAGATGAAAAACGCAGTCAGCAAAAATGCTTGAATGCAAATGCAAAATCAACAGGTCACAACATCGCTACCGAACATGAAGCAACAGCGACAAACAGCAACCGCAAAAGGACTTTGAATCACACGAGACGCACAGGTACGTCGAGGTGATCAGCCTCGATATCACAGGACAAGTGCGGCGTCTTCGTTGGATGCCGACCGCACAGGTCCCCGGCATCCCCCTGCTGCTTAAAGTTTTGCGTCCGTGGTCCAGGACGGTTCACACACACAAGGCCCCGAGTGGGGCGAGCTCACTTATGCAAGGCCCATTGAGTCTTGCAATCTTCGACTGTGCGGGAAAGTCTCGTGGCGATGACAGACCATGCATGCTTGGCCTTGGTATTGATCTTAAGCGAACGGAGGAGATCAATCTCCTCCTCAGTCCAAGGTTGCGGGGCTTCGGGATCAGCCTCAGTAGCGGCATCAGTCCTGGTCGATGGGGTAGCTTCGCGTTGTCCACGGGTAGGTTTGGATGCCATAGAGCGTGAGGAGGTCTTGTCACGTGTGCGACGAGCTCGTTTTTTGTCAGGAGGAGACGGTGGAGTGGGTGGAGCCCAATGATCAGGAAATTGTTCATCATGATCTGCGAGAAGTTGTTCGCCAGGATCTTCAGGAAGTTGTTCATGAAGATCATCGAGGGGGGCCAGGAGAGGTGTTGGTGGTGAATTGGTCAGGTCCTTTACGGTGAGATTGAGTGGAGCTTCCGGTGCGAAATCCGGACCCTCAGTGAACTCGCGAATAATGGCAATGCCTTGCTGGGCAATGCCGAGGATGAGTTCAAAGTCTTGAAGCAGCTGGCGTGCTGTGTCAAGATCCATAATCGCAAAAGGCTTTATGTCAAACAGCTGCGGTGTGAAAACAGGTCATGTGGGAATCTGCCGGCGGGCAAAGAGTGAAAAAGTGGGTGCAATCTCAAAGAGTGGCAAAGGAAGGCCGGTGCGTGTTTTCTTCTTTCTGTAAGGTGAAACCGTGTTGGTGGTACAACTTCCTCAACAATGTGAGATCGTGATCTCGCTGAAACTCAGGAAAGGAAACCCGGCTGATCAGCGTACGTCTGGAGTAATATCCAGATTCCTTGTGCATCATTGGTGCGGCCGACTTGATGGAGAGCATGTTGTGCTTCTCATACGAGGGGATGAAGGAGATGGTGCCGCACTCAAGGTTCAGTCGAAAACCCAAGAAATCCAGGGCGGCTTCTGTTTCCAAAATGATGTCTCCTCCGTAGAAGTGTTCGTCACACTACCGGAGTCGAAAACCATCTAGGAGTTGCGACCACGAGCCTGTTGTCCACATAGCGGAGCAGGAGGGTGTCCTCAAAGGAGCGAGGTCTCGAAGTAGGATGGGCGTTGGCCCAAATTTGCTCGGCGACCGCAATTACCATCAGGCATAAAGCAGGAGATGCGGGGGATCCCATCGGGGCCCCGCGTGTTTGCCTGAAGGAACGGAAGCCGACAGAAAAGATCTGCATGTCAAGGGTAGCTTGGATGATTTCGGGGATGTCGTCAAGCCACAGAGTGCGTTGTGCTGGCTTGTGTCGGCGACGGCGTCCGTTGTAGACGCGGGTGGTGGAGGAGGTGTCAAGTGTGTCCACAGTGAGGTGTGTGGTGGTGGAATGTGGTTGCCGCTGTCGGTACCAGGTTAAAAGTAGACGCCAGGCTGCTAAGAAGCGGTCTTTGTCAATGGAAGTGAAGAAACTGGAAAGGTCCTGGTTTCGACAGTCCAGAGGGGTGTGGCCGAGGCGGAGAAACTCATGCAAAGACCGCATGAGATTGAAGAGGTCGCCGCCCGAAAATGCGTCTGGGCAGGCCGTGGCAACCATGCTGTGGAGCAGTTTGGCGAGAGCGTCAAGCATGGGTCGGAAGAAGGCGCCAACGAAGCTGATGATGGGTCGAGCAGTGGTC